CAGAGACATCAAACAACAGACCCAGAGAAGATGTGATATAAAAAGAAATGCACCAAATGTTTGTGAGACGATATTCAGATTTTCAAATTAAAATATATTTTAGAAACTAAACTGCATGTCACTAGGAAACAAAAATCCTGTGTAAGAAACACCCAAAGAAACTTGACTTTAATCCCACTTCCTAAAAGGATACAGGTAATGAAGAATTGCAATTCTGTGGACTAATGATGGGATTTAACAAATTGTGCAGGATACACTCAATGCCTATTGATACAGCATGCACCAAAGCTATATGACATGCATCTTCTTCCTAATGAAAATGTCTGGGACAACCAAAGAAGGAGAACCATGAACTGTGTCCATAGTTCTGGAAAACACCAGATATTGTCACCTTTATTTTAGATTATGTTGTTTGATTTTTCCTCTCTTTGAACCTATCGCATGTTATTTGCTTTCTCTGATTTAGCACTAAGGATACTGTTATCTAATAAAGATCAAACTCCTTTTAACTATAGTTAAAGTTTTAACATCTTTGTCCTTCCATGTGTTACTTGAAGAAAGAAAGATTTTTGGATTATTCCAGGAATTTTACTTCTTAGAAAACTATTTTTTGCATGTGGGATACATATGTAACATTGTATTTGTGGGATCAGCAAAAACATAAAAACCAGTTTTTGGACTGAGAACAATTTCCCTGAAGCTTCCTTTGAAAAACAGAAGTGAAACCCCATCCATTTCAAAGATTTCCCAGACAGTGAGAGGCAAAAAGCTTCAGAGGAAAACCAGTGTTTCAGTGGGACCATGCTGCTCTTGGCAGGCTTAAACAGTCCCAAAGAGCTTCAGAACAGATGAGGGAAATTACAAATGGGAACGGTCGATGTTAAAAGCAGGTTCTGCATTTAAAGTGAGAGCCAATAATCTAAAAGTCATGGACAGGCCTCTTTACAGTGAAAACTTTCTGCAGCAGTCCTCAAAACACCATCCTTCACTGACAGAACACAAAAAGGGACAAAGTCTGAAAGAAGTGGAACAAGCTTCTTGGCCTGCATGGAGCCTCTGCTCTGTCCCCGCAGCACACCCAGCACGTAGCCAGCTCGCACTCAGCGGCTGGGCTGGGCAGAGACGTGCACACGCAACAGGAACATCCCCAGGAGCAGCTCCAGAAGCTGTGCTGCTGGGAGCAGCCGTCTCCTGGGGCAGGGAGGGCTGCTGCAGGAGTCCCAGCACACACATTAAATCCTGGGCATCTGAGGGAAAGGCCCCTTTGGTGTAACCTGTGGGATGTGGGCACAGCTCAGCAGCTCCCGTCGCACTCCACACTCACTCATTGTGCCTGCTCTCGCTGGGTGTCTGTCCTTCAGCAGCTGCACTGGCACTACACACGGACACCCATCTCCTCTGCCAAAGGTGGTACCAAACACAAGGAGGCAGGCACTTCTCACCTTGCTCACAGCTATCCCTGAAGGTTTGAAGGCCTCTGCCAAATTCTCTCCCAGTGCAGCATTGAACAGGTGAATTTAACTTACCATTTTCTGACCTCACCACAGTTTTCCATCACTTAATGTGTGGCTACAAAGAAGATGGAGGCTCTTTAGCAGAAATCACATGAAGAATCATAGAATCATAAAATTATAGAAGGATTTGGATTGGAAAGGACCTTGAAGATTACCTGGTTCCAAGTCCCCTGCCATGTGCAGAAACAGCTTCCGCTGGACCAGGTTGTTCAAAGCTCCATCCAGCCTAGCCTGGAACACTTCCAGGGATGGAGAATCCATAGCTTTTCTGAGCAACCTGCCTTGCCAGTCTTACAAGGAAGCATTTCTTCCTGCTGTCTGATCTAATCCTGCACTCCTCCAGTTTAAAATCCTTACCCCTTGTCCTGTCACTACATGCCCTTATGAAAAGTTCCTCTCCAGCTCTCCTGTAGATCTCTTTAGGCATTGAAATGCTGCTACAAGGTCTTTCTCTTCTCCGTTCTGAGCAATCCCAATTTTATCAGCCTTGCTTCAGAGGTGAGGTGTTTCATCCCTCTAATCATCTTTGTGTCCTCCTCTGGACTTGCTTCAACAGTTCTATGGACTTCCTGTGATGGGGGCCCCAGAGCTGGATTCAGTATTCCAGGTGGTGTCTCATCAGAGGGGAGTAGAGGGAAGACAAGGGGCAAGGAACACAAGGTACACTGGGAAAGGTTTCATCTCAATAAAGAAAGAATTTTTTTTACAGTGGGAACAAACTCCATAGACACATGGTAGGGTCACCAGAGATTTTCAGGGTGTGACTGGGTGCTAAATAATCCCATCTAGACTCCTTTTCCTGCAAAAGGCTGGACCACTTTGGAGGGGTCTCCTAAGCAGGGCTGTTCTATGAGTTTAAATTGTTCTATGAGTTTAAAAATTGCTTGTACCTGACACATATGTACTTCAACAGTCTTCTAGAGGAAGATTTTAAAAATTCCTCTCATTCCATAAATATTTAAACTTACCTATGCTTTCAAGTATGTGAATCAGTGTCTTTTAAGCAGTAACTTGAAAGGACACATGAACAGAATATTTCACAAATAAATAATTCTGATAACAGCTAGAAAACACCTCCTTGGCTGGCAGTCCAAAATCTAATTCACAAATTGTTATTTGGAATGCTGCAGTATCAATAGATATAAATATGAAGTGCAGGTAATGTTCACTGTCATTATGTAGTTCTTAAATTGTGCTTAGTTTGTACCTTCAATTAAAAAATGAGGTAGACAGAAATAAATTAGGCTGCTACAATGCAAGCAATAACATACCTAACTTATTAACTGTTTTTCAGTGATTCCTTTGAATTTCACTTCTCCAGAACTAAATTCACCCTGCCTTTCTTTTTTTCCTCAGATAAACCTGTCTAGTAAAAGAAAAAATGCACATGTATTCCACAGATAAAAGATGTGAGACTGAGGATTACCTCATCTGCAACAGGGCTTTTTTATTGATGGGGGTTTTTGCCTTTTTTTCTCTCTTTGTTTGTTACTAATTATTTCAGCTATTAAGAAAAATATTATACTGAATTGTAATTTTTCTGTCTATTACAGTAATGAAGACAGATTATGATTATCTGAATTTCATTTATAGTACATAAAGGTCAGTTGTTTATCAATATTTCTCAAATAATTATCTCCAATATTTTCCTTCCTTTTAATTGTTTATTTAAAAGGTATTACCTATACCCTGTCATTAAGGCAAATTAATGAGTGGTCTGATTTTAATCAGCATTCCTGTTAATCACAGAAGTTATTATAGTTTGACTCTAAAAGATACCACACTGCATCTAAGTCTGTTGATGAAACATACTGTTGACATCTATTTCCTCTGATTACTTGTTAAATTATTATCCTTGTGAATCAAAGATAAATACTCTCTTGCTAACAGTAAAATTTCAGTCTCTGTTCTCACAAATTCAGCATGTCTCTGCATATCTATAGTAAGAATATTCTGTTAAATCATTGGAAGGGAGAGCTGGCAAGCTTTAGAAGAAAGGTCTGTAATACAGAGTGTGAACTGCTGATCTGCAGTGATATCAAAAAGAAAAAAGCTGGTCAGCAAACTCCCTATGGGAACAGCTGAGCTGAATCTTCCTTTTTAAACATTCATTGGATTTTTTCCCCCCAGTTAAAAGCCCTTTTTTTTTTTCACATTAGGGGTTTCTCATTAGCGCTGCCCTCCAGCAAATCATGCAGAGAATCAGCTGCAGTCTCTACTTGCCCTGCTCTCCCGAGCAGGGGGATCAGTGAGACCAATGTCACATCTGTCAAACATTGCATGGTCAAGCACACATGGTGGCCACAAAATTTCAGCATGTGACCTGGAAATTTTAATACAACACAAGTGCTATAGCCAGTGAGAGACATAGCTTCTGTTATTTACTTTGTTTTTTTTTTTCAAAGGAAAAAAGGGTTTGCTGCCTGTTCAAGGGCTTTTTCTCCTCCATTTTTCAGACCACCTCCACAATATCACATACACTTGATTCAACAGAAGCAGATGAGATGTGAACCCTCACAGAGCTGGATGCCAGCTGCCAGGGGAGCTGCATTGTAATTATGCTGCCCTGCAACCAAAATCTTCTGCAGGAAAGGTGTGGATGCTGGCAGCATCTCTGACATGGTTATTTCAAACAGTTCAAATAAAAAAGGGAGAACTGTTTTTATATTTCATGTTTCTATTTGCTACCTCACCACAACTTTACCGTTTTCTTGCATGGCTTTTATTTAATCACAGACTTATAATGTGGAATCATTAACTTTTCATTCAGTCAAAATGTACAGTACTTCAGGTATGGAGACTGGTGAAA